AGCCGCCGCCGGCTGCCAAGTGCGGGAGAAGCTCAGCTTTACTGGGAAGCCCGCGCCTGAGTGTAACCTAACCGGCTGGGGGAGATGCCGCCGCTGACTGACAGCGGGACCGGCGCTATGCAAATGGCGGCGCGGCGGGCCGGTGGCCGGGGGCTCTGCCGGGGAGCTCTGCCCGCGCCGCCCGCGCCCCGCAGCGCTCCGCGCGTTGCACAGAGCAGTTGTGGCTTTTTTGGGAGACGTCGTGTTTCGTGTAAAAATCATCTCGAGCGCGGTTTCAGTTCGAGATTCGTGCGAGAGAGCTGGCGAGATGTGTCAGAGCTTGTTACTCGAGCTAAATTAGGTAATTTTTAGCCGGGTAACGTGCTAATCTTTAAACCTTTGTGTTTTTAAATCCTGCGTGTGTCTGGTCTCTTCATACAAAAGTGTGTTTTGCTTGTTTCTTCTCGTCGTCTTCAGTCTGAAGCCTTATGTAGGTCAGGCTTGGCTTAAGCAGATTTCCTGAACCTGCGTCAGCTTAAGCTGAAGGAATTTTAATAAACCCTCCCTTGTAGGCGTGGGCCTAAATGAGACTAGCCTAGTTAAGCCTGATCTTTTTCTGTTTGTGAAAAAGAGCCGAGCAGAGCTAGGGACTGCATGGTGGCGTCAGAAACGGCTGCCTTAATTCAAAGATAACAATGGTTGGGAAGGCCAGATCTTCTAATTTCACCTTATCTGAAAAGCTCGATTTGCTAAAACTCGTGAAGCCGTACGTTAAAATTCTCGAGGAACATACCAATAAGCATTCCGTAATAGTGGAAAAAAACAAATGCTGGGATATCATAGCTGATAACTACAATGCCATCGGAGTAGATCGCCCTCCTCGCACCGCACAGGGCCTGCGCACGCTGTACAAGAGGCTCAAAGAATATGCCAAACAGGAGCTATTGCAGCAAAAGGAGACCCACTCAGATTGTAAAAGCAGCATTTCCGAGCCAACCAAGAAAGTTGTGGAGATGATTCCACAGATTTCCAATGTGTGTTTAAGAGACAGGAGCGGTGTTCAAAGGTGAGATGATTCTTTTTATTTTGTTACTGAATGACCGTGATGGCGCCTCCTATCTACTCTGTAACGCTTTGCTTGTGGTCAGGCTCCGAGAGGAAATGCTTGTCGGAGACAATCCCCAAATGGGGAACAACGACAAAATAACGTTGCTTTTGTTTTATGGGAAGCTTTACGGTGACTTAGCACTGCATTCGTTTTTCCAGCTCTCTTTCAAAGGCTGTTTCAGAGTCTTTGTCATACTCTGGAAAGTGAGGGTTAAGAGAGAATCAAAGAGAAATGGTAGCTCCAACCTCCACCCCTCCCCTACCTTTTAATAGGCAGATTATTCAAACACTGGCAAAGTGATGGCTATTCTCCTCCATTTAAGGTAATACTGCAGTCATTTTGCAACATATGGAACTATTACCAGTTTATACAGGATTTTTAGGAAAGTTAGTTCACAAAGCTAAGAAACCTTACTCACACATCTTTTTTCTCTCATTTACTCTGATGTTTGCATGTTACGTTTTAACTGATCCAAATCCTTTAAAAAAAAATTGACTCCCCATACCACAGTGCCTTTGTGAGTGCAAATGTTTGTTTTTTTTTAATTGTACTTTTCTTGCATTGACGGTGGTTCTCTGGAACTGGAGGAAAGCTAATTGCAGTCTGAACTCCAGGCAGTTCTGTACCATAGGTTAGGTAGTTTAAATGCAGAGAGACACTGAGAGGTGCTGCACTAGAAGTTTTCTCCTTTTTTGTAGTGTTTTCTTTTTTTCTTACTGCTCAGTAAAGTGAGACACAATGTCTAGATTTGAGCCAGACATAATACAGGCAGGCAGCACGCAGGCTTTCTCCCACAGCTGGCTAATGCCCCTCGTATCTGACTTGCAACACTCTGCTGGTTCTGTATTGGTCCTTGAGGGATCAAAAAATGCCTGGGTCAGGATTTGGTCCCTCCAGGTACAAAAACTAAGCTACGGAGGAGGGGAAAAAAAAGTCAAATAACTCCCCAGCAACATTGAGAAAGCTCTGATTTTTCTTATTTTCCCAAGCAGATTAATGGGAAGCGAACTTTCCGTATTTTTAATCAGATATACTGATAGCCAGTGCAGCAGCAAAACACTCTTAAGAAAAGCTGGCATGCGCACACACGCTGAATTGGATTCATGGTGCCACTGGTTGAACTGAATGGTAACAATTGTCTAAATCCCAACATGCCAGATGCTCTAAAAATATGCTGTTGTGAGTCCTTTGCGTAAAGAAGTCTGAAGCAACTGGGCTGTGCTGCTGCTCCTGGTGAATGCCCCTGAAGGAACCGTTCCAAAGAATTCTCTGGAACAAAACGAGGCTTTTAATTGCACTAATAAAGGTTGCAGTGTCTTGACTACCAACTTTTGTAAGGAGGAAAAAAAAATAGTGTGAGAACTTTGGTTTGTAGATCGGCTTATAAAAAGCACTGACGCTTTTCATGGATGATTAAGAGCTAATGATCTCCATAGTTTGTCTCCTATAATTTAAACATTTTTTGCAGTCCCTTATGAGTCTGGGAACATTGACTTGATTACTGCTTACCCAAAATGGTTGTTCCTAGGAACAGCCAATACACCGTGCGCTGAAGGAAAAGACTCTTATTAAAAAAATTATTTTTTTTTCCCTGCCCAAATAGATTATTATTATTTGATGGTTCTAATTTTAACTCTGAGTTGCATTTTACCCTAATTTTCAAAACCCTGTATTGGGTTTTAACTCACCAGGATATGGCTTAGGTTTTGTAGGAGGGAAATACAACTTATAATGAATCCAAATTTTTAATCGCACCTTTAAGCAATTTCTAGCCCGCTCTGATTAAACAAAACCCGCTGAATCATGGGTGCCCGCAGGGTTATAAACACCATCCCCCAATTGTGGTAACTGTTGTTTGTCTTTCTTTCAGTCAAGTTGTCAGAAACATTACTAAGCACCATACAGGCGGCTCTTTTGTTTCTCAATTCCTTCTTTCTCACTTTGCTGTCTAATTGTTTTCCTCTTAAGACTCTGACTCTAAGAAGAAAAAAAAAAAGCCTCATCAGAGTTACCTGAAGATTTGGTAATTTTCAAGTTCTGTGTGGATTACACTTTGAGAGATGGATTTTTCACTGTTTGGAGGCTCTAGTCAATGTTAGACTAAATCTTACCTGTCTGTCTTCTCTTTATCCTCTCTCACTTTCTCTTTCTGCTCTCTGTTTCCTTTTGTCAGAATGACCTGCTTCTCCTGCTGGTTGTTTCCACTCTACTCAGGCTAGAAGCTGGCTGAAAGCCAGCAAATAAGAAGGAGGGAAGCTGTATTAGAAGCTGCGGTTGTGAAGAGGGGGAAACCCAGAATTACAGTCAGCACTGGGGAAAACAAGTGAAAATTTGTGTGCAGGAGAATACTTCCGATGCTCAATGAGAGGAGCAAGAGGAATGTGAGGAAGAGGTATATAGGGAAGGGTGAAGCTTTGTGGCATGAGGAGGAGGGAGTAAGGTGATATAATTGATACATCTATAGGCAGCTGAGGTAACAGTCAATAGAATTAAGATTATCCTGGCATTTTCTTCAGGGAATAAGTGAAAGGTCTATTTTCAGTACCTGTTTCAGATGGACTTTTTTTTTTTTTAATCTTTAGTTAAAATAGTTTAGGTGGTTGACAGGATTAATTTTTGGAAAATATATTGCTTTGATGCTATAGAACATTTTTACAATTGAGTAGTGAGAAGGTTTCATGCTTTTATTCTAGAAAATGCACTTTCATGTTAATGCATGGCGGGCTAGATCAGGGTCCTTTGGAAACTGCAACGGTGACTGCTTAGTTCTTTTAAACCGAAATTTCTAAAGACCATGGGAGATGCAGAAGAGATGATCATGCCACTGTTCGATTAAGGAGTTAGTGCACTTACACGAGAAGTGGGATGTACAAATTAAATTTCTCCTTTGCTTCGGGGAATTTGAACACCCGCCTATTTCTAACCAGGACAGTGTTTTAATAATCAGATAATGTTTCTCAATTTGTGGATTGTAGGGCTCGCAAGAAGTTTAAAAAGTGTAAACAAACCCCTTTCCACCCCCCAGTTTAATGGACAGCAACTCCGATCCTCCAGGGTTGGGGAGCATCCGTGAAAGTCATATTAATCATGGATCCACTCACTGCCTTTAGCTGCTAGAAACAGTTCAGTTCTTCAAGGGCTGGGGAATGTCTCATATCTGCAGCCACCGGTTGCCTCTGTTTTAGACAGTGATGGCTGTGATGGTGCACCGTCTTCAGTATTGGTACCAAGTTAATATATTCTGGTTCCCATGTTGCACTATACTGCTTTACCAGTCATGCTGAAAGTATTCTTTGTAGATGTGTACTGTAAAATAGATCAAGAAGCTGATCTGGCTTAAAAAAGCATTGCCTGAATAAGGGAGTGATGTGCAGAAGTGTAGCATTTCAAACACAACTGATGGTAGAGAAGTGGCAGGAACAGCTTGAGCCATTATTATCATCAAAGCCAAATCATGATTTGAGGTGCTGCTGACTCAGGGGTTTACACAAAGGCAGATGAGTCAAGTGGGCGTTGTACTTTCGAAAAGAAATGCGCAGAACTATAGGCTGTTCTTAATGGAAACATTTCTGTGTCTTCTCTCGAGGCTTCAGAAAAATGCTGAGGTCACCGATTCAAAGAGAAGGAGCAAGGATTAGCTTGATTCCCTAATCTACTGGCAGGGTCATCGTTTGGGCTCTGGTTTCTTCTCCCAAGGCTCTTCGTGTAATTTTATTCAGTGATTGTTTTACATAAAAACCTCCTACCAAATACTTGAGTGGAGGAATCAGAAACGGGACGCCATAGAACAGGAGGAGATTAATAAGTTTGGGAGATGGAAATGTTTCTGCCACAGTCCACTCAATCTAAATCAATGCCCTTTTAAAATCACATCATATATTGTATAAACTCTTTCCTCTGTCACTTGCATGACTTGCTGCTGCTTTGTTTTTATTCTCATTTGTCACTAATAGCCTTTCTTGCTTCTCCGGTGTTAGAAGAAGGGCCTACCAGGATAGTTCTCTGTTGGCTATACTGGCTTTATAGCAATCAAACCTGAATGAGACAGGGCTGTGTACACGAGGTGGAAAGAAGGAGGGGTAGAGGTGGTGTTCGTGTAAGGAAATAAGAGTTCCCAGGCATAGAAGTATTTCAAATGAAGCTTTGGTTACTTAGAGCTGCTCCTTTTAAAAATAGTTTTTAATGGATTATTTAAATATGATTTTGTGTGTTCTAGTGCTAGTATCGATAAAGAAACAATTGCTGGTACCAGTTCACCACAGGCAATGTTGGATCACCATCCTGTGACAGTCACGATGGAGTTGCAATCGGGAGAGGACGTGAAACCTCCTCCTTCTTTGATTATAGACTCACAGCAAAATGAGAGCTTAGAGCAAGAGGAAGAACACCAGCTGGTGCGTATTATGGAAAGGTCTCCTTCGACATCAGTATCGTCAGTTGATATGAGAGTGATGATGTCTCCCTCTCCTGTACCAAGAAGAGATGAGTTTTTTAGGCTTGAGGTTGGAGAACGCTTTAGACCAGTATGTGGTTATGACCCACAGATGTTACAAATGCTGAAAGAAGAACATCAAATAATATTAGAAAATCAAAGAAAAATTGGTCTTTATGTCCAAGAAAAAAGGGATGGTTTGAAAAGAAAGCAGCAACTGGAAGAAGAACTGTTGCGAACAAAAATCAAAGTAGAGAAGCTGAAGGCAATACGACTACGCCATGATCTGCCAGAATACAGCAATATCTAAATATTTTATTACTTCTGTCGTATTCTTTGACATACTTAATAATGAATGCTTTGCCCTAGCAAAATTGCTCCTTATGTTAATATGGATGGATCAGAATCTGGGCTTGAGAGATGAAAGTGTATTTTCCATGTTGTTGTTTATGTACCTTAGAAAAATACCGTGTATGGGTTTGAGTGCACCAATCTTCTGAAGTGTAATCAAATCCTGTATATTTAAGTGTTTAGGTTGATAAAAAGCCAAACTTAAAAAATATTTCCACTTATCTCTATTAGAGTTGTGATGAGCTACTGGAAATTTAGCTCAGCTCTTTTAAAAAAAATTTCATCATATGCATTATTTTTTCTAATAATCACCTATCCTTTAATATCTTAATGAAGTTACAAGTTGATAAATACCCATAAAAGGAGGAATAAAAGGCTATGTTTAAATGTCTTATTCTTTTCAAGTTGGTGAATCTTATGACAGTGGTGAGATTTTGCTGATATATCAGCTTGGAAAACAAAATTACTGGATTGTTATATTTTTTTAAAGTTCAGTAGACAGTTGAATAATTGTACATCTTTTTAAAAGTTAATACTTTTTATTGTTTCCAGTGGAGGAGTGTTTCCATAGGACGTTACCGGAATAGAGACAATGAATGCAACACTTGGTTTTAAAACTGCATGCATGTGTAATTTGTGTGTACAGTTACCATGATCATATATTCAGTTAGAGTAATTATACTGGTGATCCACCACAAAAATGTCTCATTTCCTCATTTGCATGCATAATTACTACAGTGCATGTGCAACCAAGACAGTTGCAGGTGCCTTTGATCAGTATCACTATGACTATAAGCTACTGAAATGAAATAGTTTCTGTATGTAAGTAATATGTGACTTGAAATCAACTGAAGATTCTTTGTTATTCTGGGTACCTTTTATAAATGCTGTTGTTCTGGTCTTTTGATTAGTTTCAAATAAAAAGCCCCAAATGAAAAAAAAAAAGATTCTTCTGTCTGTTCTAGTAGCAGCCGTTTCCTCTGCAGTTACAAGCAACATTCGTAACTGGAAGAAAAGTACCTGGAAAGCTTAAGTCCCAGATGATTCATTTCTTCATAATTTTTAGTCTTCTGCCTGTTATGAATGGATCCACAACTGTCTTAGACCTCTGGCTCCTTATTCCCTGTAACAATACTTTCTCCTTCCTCTAACCTTTAGCACAAGAAAAGGAAATGAAGCACAGCATCAAGGAAAAAGAGAGAACAAAGGAGATAAAATTCTTCCTGTGCCTCCTATCTCAGAGAGCCCCAACAACAGAAAGAGCAAAAGCAGTAGGAAGGAGAATGTTTCTTCCTGTGGCTGCTTGTAACTGTCGCTCCTGTCACCGTTGTTTTTCCCAAAGTTGCTTCTCTCTGCATTCTCACAGAACCTCAGTATGCGAGCATGGGGCACTGGTCTGCATCAGCAGACTCTGAATGAGGTAAGCCTCGCACCTCCTTGTTGGTCTTCCAAGTGAATCAGGTTACCTTTGTAGCCACAGGGATAAATGCTTATTAAAAACTGAGGACTGGAAGCGTGTAAGTTTAATTGAGGGGCTAGTGGAGCTTAAAGAATTGTAGTGGTGGTGTATGATGGTGGTACGAGAGAAGTAATCTTGACTGTCGGTGCCCAAGATAACTTTAACAGGTGACAGGTGGGAAGAGTAGAGGAAGCAAGTCTTTTGTTTACAGACTGAGGAAAAATACAGGCAGCGAAAACAGATGTCGTCAATATGGAGTTCCTCGATACTTTTCCAGTTGTTTTCTAGAGAAGAAAGCACTGTGTTTGTTCTGTCGGGAATTTTCACTTGTGCTGAAAGTAATGATGCCTGAATAAGTGGCCTCTGTTTCTGTACAGTCCTTGGCTGTATTTTTCAGTTCAAGGACATCGATCTGTTTTTGTGTAGCTGGAAACACTTCAATGAGGTACTCACTTGCCTGAGTTTACAAGAATCAAAATATTAGCTTGAGTAAATAAGGATTTTATTTGTTCTACTTCTCAGAAATGGGAAACGGCACTAAATTCTCTGCACTTGTCTTATAATTTGGAAATGCCCAATCTTATCCTTTCAGTTGAAAATTGGAATTCTGGTTTCCAGTGGTAAGGAATTAATTTCTATTTGTTGTTTCTGTCCTTACATATTATGCAAATGATCAAATTTTTAATAGTTTAGAAAATACTTTTCACACAGCTCATCGTCTTGCAGTGGTTTTGAATTATAGCTGCTCTTATGTTGGCCACCAAAATGCTCTAGAGACTTTAGGATATTTTCTGTTGAGTTCTCCGTTCTCCTTGAGCTAGTGGAAGAGGTGACCTCCAGGGTTTCTATTGGCATGGTATTTTTATTTTGAGGGCTAGAAACAGAGGAATTTCCAGTCTTTCAAAGCTTGCAGTCCTTTCTGAACTGACAGACAAAGTAGATACAAAAGTAGGACTCTGGTTAGAGCAAAGTCTCCCTTGTATTCTTGATATTGGAAGGGGAAGGATGCAAATGAGTAAAGAAATAAAATGCACTGGCCTGGTCAGAACTGTCTCCCTATAATGAGTGTTCTCCCACGTTTGGTTGTTCTGGCTTTGTCTCGTTTCTTAGTGGAAAGCCTTTCATTCTTACCTGCAGGCAGCACCTCTAGTTCAGAGATCTCTCATGCTTTTTGTTTCGTTTGTTCTTGGCTGCGTTTCTTATGTTTTTTGGGGAGCTTGAGGTGGGGGGAGACACCTCTTGAGTCTCTGTGGAGCTTGCTTGTTTCTTTACAAGTGACAGGACATATATTTTCTTTCACTACAGAAATGTGTCCTCCTTCAGTGACATTACAATGCTCTGTCAGTGCAGTGTGGTGCTGACTACATATTATACCTCTGTGTGCTGGTGGATCTGCATTTCTTTCTCGCTCCACATCTGCTATACAGTATCAGGTTGTCTGAGTCAGACTTCTCACTTCTCAGTGCCTGTTCCTGTTTTGTTTTTTTTTTTCCATGTATTCCTAATGTGGGTACATGCACCACAGCTGTGGCTAGTCCTTCTGGACCTTGAAGTGCTATGAATTTTTACTGTTCCAGCAAATGATATTTTGTCAGCATGTGTGAAAAAGATGGTAGGAAGCCCTTCCCTCCTTCACTCCCATTCTTATCCTCTTATTCCCTTCACTACATCTGGCAGTGCCATTCCCTGTCTGCGTGTTTATAATGTACATAGCACAAGCAGAGTAATTTTAGGCAAGGACAAATTTCTACCATATGTTCATGTCCTTCTACTAAGATAACTGAAAAAAACAGGCTCCAGGAGTAATTTAATTTCTAACATCTAATGGACTTATGTTTAGAATTAAGACTGTAACTGTGATAACTTTTGTGATAATTGTGATATCTGCTTGTATAACTTCATCTATCTGAGTAATTGTCTAATGATCAGTCTTTAATTTTGTCGGCTGCTCCCTAATTATCTTGGTTTTTTTTGTCCCTCCTTGCTTCCTCCTGTAAGCTTTAGACTCCTGTGGAATCATCTCAGTTGATGTGCTTACCTTAGATCAGAATTCTTATCAGGTAAAAATGGTAGGAGAGAGAAGTACTCCAAGACCAGGAGAGATTACTTAGAGCTAATCTTGCTTGTCATACTCCTGTTTTCTAACATCTTCCACCTCAGTAGCTTCAGTTCCTTTCATTTATATTTCTACATATTTTCGGGCTTGGGATTTTTTCCTCCATACAATGAAAATGCATAGACTAGAGCTTGTGTACTATCTTTTTTGGGCAGACTTTGTGTCCGCTGAATTTCCAATGGGCAAAGCCATTAAATTGCTTATAATTGAGAGAGAGTTGTTTGTAAGTGGAGGAACAAATCAGGAACTGTGATACCCAGGCTGGCTGGCTAAGCTGTGTTTTAAAATTTTGTATATCTTATTTTGAAGGGCTTTAGGATGGTTCCACATGAATTTTAACTTTGGTAAAATCATAAAAGGTTACTCATGAAGATGATAAAGTGTTATTTTTCCAGGATGTTGATTACTTTTCTATTTTGCAGATGAAAATAAAGAGAAACCTTTAAAAAGAATGCCTTTTAGCATTTTTCAAGGTTTTAAAATACATGAAATGTAGCTTCTCAGTGTGTATTCCTAACGAGTCATGTTATTATTCTGTTTTTAAATATCCAGGTCTTAATTTGAGAAACCACATTGTCCAAGACTTAGATTTAAAAAAAAAAAAAAAAAAAGAAAAAAAGTGTACTGTTTAGGGTAGCTAAAATAATAGTCTGTTAGCTGGGTGTGTAACACATGACTAAATTCCAGTTATTCTGTGACCTATGTTTCTGTGTTTTATCTCTGCTAAAAATGAAATCGTTTGCCTTGATGTCAGCCAAGTTGCCTGTGTAGTGATGGTTGCCTTTAAATGGCATCCAGTTTGTCTGGGCATAGTTTCCTCCATAATAGAGAGACAATTTCCTAAAGTTTTACTGAATACCAGCTAAGAAAATTAGTTTCTGTGAATTCAGTGCAGAAGTAGTTGAAAACCTCACTTGTGGTTCGTGTGTAAGGGGAGGAGGCGGATGAGGGTCAGGGAACCCAAGGAAAGCTCAGCTGTCTGCAGGCATTTGCATTCCCCGCTGCCCCTGACTTTCGTCTGTGCTATGGGGTTTTCACACTGTTTTATCCTAGAGATTACACAGAATGATTTGTTGATGTATCCAAATATTTCTGAGGGAACATAACACCTTGTTTGACTCTGTATTATTCACACAAGAAGAATATAATGTGATTTTCATTGAATACTTACTCAGCAGTTACTCCACATGATTTATGATTTCTATTTGCTGTTTAGCAGAACGCAGACTTGAAAAATCCTACTTATTTTTTTTGTATTTTATGTATGCAAATAGAATTTTTTTAAAAAGAAGTCATTGTTTCCTGGCTGTTTCCTATCGGCTCTTGATTGTCATCTATAGTTAGCATAATCACAATAATTAGCATAATTTAACATAAATGTTACCTAAAGATAATTCCACTGGATTATGGTGCCCCTCCGTGCTCAGCTGATGTCAGGACCCAGTTTGGGTAAGGCTGAGTCATTTTGTTTACAGTATTCTGTGCGTCGCCATTTGCTTACTTTGAACGTCTTTGTATGATCCTTGTCTGTATTGCTAATGCTTTCTCAACATACAGCAGTTTTCTAACTTCAGGCCTTTCTGCAT